ATGTTGGTCCTCCCTTATCCCCATTCATTCCCACATCACTGTATTTCTCCTCCCCATTTCCATCCACTCCTGAAGATAATCACTCCCGTTACCTCCTTGTTTATTCTTTTACACAAGTGCACAGATGTATATGGATTTTCTTATATAGCCTTTTCCTTCCAATGAACGCAGCCTACCATCAATAAGATATTACTTTGAACTCTATTTTGTCCATGCATCGTGGAAATCATTACACATCCATGCACAGACATCCTCCTCATTCTTTATATATCTTCATTGCACAGCTGCACCAATATCTATTTGATCATTTTTCTATGCATGTACATTGAGGTTACTTCTGATATTATTTTTAATTAATAAACCACCTGCCAGACATATATTTCTGTAGTGGGGTGTATCCTTCAGGGTAGACTCCCACAGATGGGATGGCTCAGTCAAAAGTGAAGTATGTAGTAGTTTTGTTAGAGATCACCAAATCCCCCACCCCAGAAGGATCATATCACTTTGCACTCTCTCTAAATCTAGATGTAGGAGCTAGTTTTCCTATAGTTACATATGTTGTTATACTTGAAAAAATTTTGCCCATCAGACAGGTGAGAAATGGGGTCTTGGTTTTGCTTTGAGTTTCTTTAATTGTGAGTGTGTTTGAGTATTTATTTCAATGTTTAAGGATCATTTTTATACTGTTTATGAATCACCTTTCATGCATGTTTTTTCTTGTTTATCAAGTTCCCTGGTTCTCTGTCTCTCATTCATCAGAGCTCTTTATATCCTGGGGCCATTGGCCCTTCCCCTGCACCGGCTACAGACACCTTCTCCCCCGTCAGTCATCCTTTCACTGGATCATGGCTTTTGACTATGCAAATTTTCAGAGTCTAATTTTCCAATATTTCACTTCATTGTTTCTCTATTTTAAGGCAACTGGAAAACCTTTCCTAGTGTTTGAAATGAAAGAGGAATCTGGTGTTGGTCCAGTCTTAGTTTTCACATTTAAATTCCCAGTCTATTTGGAGATTGTTCTTATGTCTGGGTGTGAGGTATGAAGCTAATTTTGTCTTCTCCCAAACGGCTCCCCTATTGTCCCAGCATCATTCATTAAAAAGTCTATATTTGACACAGTAATTTTAGATGCAACCTTTATCCTATACTATATTCCCCTATGTAGGTGGGTCTATTCATAGGCTTTCTTTTCTCTTCCAACTGGTTTATTTGTCCACTTACATATCACTACCACACCATTCCACTCTGGGGGCTCCCCGAAAGATTCAATGTCTGCTAGTTCCTGTTTCCAGCACAGATTATCAGAATTTCCTTGCCCACTTTCTTTTCTGAGCCCAGGTGTTACATAGCCCAGGCTGGCCCAAAACTTACTACATAGGCAAGGATGATCTTGAAATTCTGATCCTCCTGCTTTTACCCGCCTCCGCAAATGTTAGGATCACAGCGTGCACTACTCTGCCTAGTTCCTACTGTGCTGAGGATTGAACCCAGGACTTCAGGCAAGCTAGAAAGCACTCGACAACAGAGAGACAACCCCAGCCCTTCCTCTGCTATCCAAACCCACTTCTTCTTCCGTAGGGACATAAGTATCGGCCTGTCCAACTCCACAAAGGAGGCTTGTTGATGTTGCTCCTGGTGTCCATTTGCAAATCAACACGGGCAAAACTGGTGTCTCTGTAGTGCTGAGTCTTTTTATCCAATGTCATAGGACACTGTTCCACCAGACCTTTATATTTTCAAACACATTAATTTTTTTGTTCATATAGACTCTGCACATTCCTAAATATGGCTTCTTGTTGCACTGTAAATATAGCAATGTTTACTAATTCGATACTTTTTACTTTTGCAAGATTCATTTTTAATTGTGTGTCTGTCTACGTGTGGGTATGTACACATGAGTGCAGATATTGGCAGAGGCCAGAGGTGTCTGATCCTTTGAAGCTGAAGTCACAGGCGGTGGTGAGCCACATGGGATAGATGCTCAAACCAGAACTCAGGTCCTCCGCAAGAGCAGTATATACTCTTAACCACGGAGCCGTTTCTCCAGTTCCTAGATTTCACTTTGTATATTCAAGTTAGCCCTATCGTTGATTCTATGGTTTCCCAGACATACTGCCACCTCACATGAAAATAGTGTCTTAATACAGGCTAAATATCCTGTATTTGAAGTGCTTGAACCCAGAAATGTTTTCAATTTGTGTGTATAGAATGAGGCATCTTTGAGTTGAAATCCAAGAAGAAAGACAAAATTCATGTGTTTCATGTATGCTTTACACACATATCTTAAAGGTGATTGTATGTAATATTTTTAAATGATTTTATGCTTGAAATAAAGTTTTGAGCAACAGAATTTTCCACCTGTGGCATCATGTTGGTAATCATAAAGCCCTGGCTTCTGAGCTCCCTGTGGACCAACAACCCTCAACTGGTATTGTCATCTGTCCTTGTGCCTCTAATCTGTGTCTCTTGTCAAATGGTGCTAACTAGTATCTCTACAAAACTATCGAATGCTAGCAGCATTGAGAGCATCCTTCTCACACCAAGTTTTTAATATTGATGGAACTACATCAAATATTTTCTCATTAAACATGATATGGGCTCAATTAGAAAATGTATTTTCTTGTGTTTAGAAGCAATCTTGTAGTTCATATTTTCTTGAGTGTTTTTTTATTTTCATGAATAGATGATGTTTTTGTTAAGATTCATTTTATTTTAATTATACATATGTATGTGCGTCTGGGACCAGGTATGTATTTGTCAAAGGAGGTGCCCCATAGGCCAGAAGAGAGCATTACCATGGAGCTGGACTTGTAGGCAGTTGTAAGCCACCTGACATGGGTGCTGGGAACCGAACTCAAGTCTTCTGCTCTTAACCATGGAGCCAATCTCTCAAGTCCCATGAATAGACAGCTTAATGATCATATTATTTTAAAAACTGATAAAGGAAAAAAGCAAGCACATATGCTGCCTTTTATATATGGTACCAAAGGGTAGCATGGGTACGTTTCTTACTATGGAATTACTCCAGATAATAAACAAAAGAAGAACCTATCAAGTAAGAAAGTGACTAGTTTGCAGCCTCTAATGAAATGGTCTCACTGAATGCCACATAGAGGTACCATCACAAAAAGAGAGACACCAAGGGCAACAGATGTGATAATATTTTATCTGTGTCCCCCAATAAAGTTTATCTGGGGATCAGAGGAAAAAGCCATCCACTATATTAAATATAGAAGTCAGGCAATGGTAGCACATGCCTTTAACCCTATCACTTGGGAGGCAGGGATCTGTCTGGATCTCTGTGATCCAGGGGTGGGAGGGCACACGCCTTAAATCCTAGCACTAACCATAGAGGTCTGGAGGTCTGTACAGACAGACAGGAAGTGACAGAGCTGGACAGGAAGAGGAAGTGATGTAGCTGGGTGGAGAGGAAATGAGATGGCAGAACAGAAAGGCATATAGACATGGGTATACAGGAAGTAGGTCTCTTTGACGGAGGATCTCCAAGTGGGTAAGAACGTGGCTGGCTTCTTTCTGCTTCCTCAGCTTTTCATTCCAATTTCTGGCTCCGGGTTTTTATTAATAAGACCTTTTAAGATTCATCTTACAAACAGACTCCATCAAAAGTGTGTACTGATGACCCCACAAGAATGCATTCAGAAAAAGGAAATCCTGGGAACTCCATTGAACAACTGTTTTGTAAGGTGGAGGGGACATCTATGTATTATTTGCAGAATGCAGACATTGAAAGAAACTCCAAGATACATCAACCGGCTGCAATGCACAGGCCTCATTTGGATCTCAATTGCAGCAAATACATTTAAGAGACAACTGGCTGAGTAGAAATATTTATTGGACATTTAATTATATTAAATAGTATTGATTTGAGGCGATAGCAAAATTTTGGTTATTTTCCATTAAAAAGTAGCTATTTGTCTTTTTTTTTTAATTATTATGTATACAGAAGAGGGTGCCAGATCTCATTACAGATGGTTGTGAGCCACCCTGTGGGTGCTGGGAATTGAACTCAGGACCTCTGGAAGAACAGTCGGGCTCTTAACCTCTGAGCCATCTCTCCAGCCCCAGCTATTTGTCTTTTTACAGGTAAGGATGAAATATTTACCCGTGAAGTTATACGATGACTAGGATTGAAAAGCAGGGCTAGGGAGATGACTCAGTTGGTAAAATACCTGCTGCACACCCGTGAGGACCTGATTGCAGGACCCCGACATCTAGGCACACACTTGACACCACAGCTTTGGGTCGAGGAAGCAGTGTCTGGAGATAAAAAGGATCCCTGGAACTCCTTGGCCATCTAGGCTAGCCAGACTGATGAGTCTTTGGATCAGTGAGTTATCAGTCTCAAAAATCAAGATGGGGAGTGATGGAGGAAGACAGTTGATATGGAACTCTGGACTCCACACGTACAAGCACATGTATACACACCTACATAAACAGGTACACACGGCACACGCATAAAGGATAAGATATTAGTACTTATGAAAAAAGACTGGGCACAGTGGCCATTGCTGAAGCTGGGATAGAGCACATCGGCTTCCTTATTCTCTCGACCTTTGTACATGTTTGAAATTGTCCATAACAAAAAAAAAAAAAAAAAGGTTAAGTGTCCTGCATTTCTTGCATTTTTACTATGTCATCCAGGTGAGATCAAGCACTAGAATGTGGTGAAAAACAGCCAAGTGCATCCCACCCGAAGCACTGGTCACCACCATAGTCACTGAACTCTGGAGAGCAAGTGGCCAGGCTGCCAAGGGTAATGGTCAAAAAGACATCCTCCTCTGCTGGTCACCTCTGGCATCTTTCCCTGAAGGCACAAAGACCCCAAGGCAAAAGTACAAGGGTCCCAAGGGCTGTAGAGGCTTCAAAAAGACTGTCATTTTCCCCAGAACCCAGTGCCTGGAGCTCTGTCTCCTTTCCACCTCTCAGAGGGCTCCCAGCCCCTTCTGTCTCTTCTTGACACAGGAATAACCCAAACTCACGTCGTTCTCCGAGGTCCCACACAGGATACAGGACTTGCATTCTATGCACTGCCACTTGTAGGTCTTGACCGCCTCGGTCATATTCAGAGTGAACTGCAGACAAGTTGGGTGACCTGAAAGAAGCCAGAAGCAATGGTATTAGGACAAAAGAGTGTGACTTCTACCCCTAACACCACCAAGTCCAGACACATCTTGGCAGGAGTATGGAGGAAGGCAGGTGTGGCACTGGCTGGGAAACAGACTGGGAGTCTGAATGGGGCTCTATTCACAGTGCTTACCACCTCCAGTCACGCCAGATAGAGGCCAAATGGAGAGATGGGTATGCACCTTCTTACTAAGTACCATCCAGTTCCTCTTCCCCCAAGAGCCGTGTGTCCCATAGGTGTAACAAGTAGAATAGAAAGCTGTGATCAGAGAACACTAAAAGGGATGATGTGGAGCACACAGTCCAAGGCAACCTGGTGGGAGGCATCAGCATCACCTCCCAAGCTCTAGATGCAGCTGGGGCAGGACAACTCATCAAACTACTTGGAACTGGGACCTCCTATTCGCACTGCCTGAGGGTATCAGGGATCACATAAGGTTTTCAGGGACAGTGCTTAGGGGTAATAGGTGGCATTTTGTGGTTCCTTGAGTCTCCAGGCCCACCGCCAAGAGATGAACAAAAGCCCAAACTCTGAACAGTCACAGAAACGCAAGAAGAAAGGAGTCTGGCAGGGAAGGCACGGGAGTGACTATCCCAGCCAATGACCAGGTCTGTCCTACAAGTGTTGTGTTAGCTAAGCCTACAGCCTGATCAGGAGAGGGACTTTAAGCTGGGACCACAGATCACACAGCCCTGAAGGAAGGCCTGAGGCTTGACCTGCCGAACAGGACTCCATCAGCCCCCATTAAGTCTAAAGGGCAATGCCACCAATGAACAGACAGCTGGGAGCTACAAAGAGTGCAGACCCTTGGCCTTCTAGATGTCAGGGAAGAGAAACTTAGATGATGTCCCCAGGTTTCCCACTGCTGTGACCTGGTCAGGCAAAGCCCACTGCTGATTCTGCTGTGAAGAATCAGCAGCTTGGCCCAGCCCGGGGCCCCATCCTTCTCCAGAGCTCCCACTGCACAGAGCATTTGCCCCTTTCATGTGAGGGATTTTGTTCCTTAAAGGATACTATAAACAGGGGTGGGCACCGATTAGAGTTAGTGTCACTTACCAAGTGTGCTGTCCCTAGCCCCCAGCAGAGCCACATCCCAGCAGGAAGCCCATGGTTACCTTTGGAATCTCAGAGAGCCCATCAGACCATGCTCGCTTGGGTGAAATACCAATACTTACGCTAGTACGTCAGCATAAGGACCTACCAGATTTTGGACTCCCCAGATATAAACCACACTGAGGTTGGGAGTGTTAGTGTAGGAGTAAATAACCAGTGGTGGGGAGACAGGAGAAAGAGACGAGGCCAGAAAGAAACCTGAAATTAAAAGCCTGCACGGATATCCCGCTGATATTCTGGAAAACATCTCAAAGTCGGATCTAAGGAGAATACTAGCCAAGCTGTTTCCTCCACTAACCTCTCAGAGTGAAAACAGAATGGGAATAGCAGGGACATTTTCAGCCGTGGACTCAGCAGTTTGGGCTACAGGTGCCCAGGTTCTCTGACAGGACATTGTTGGAAAGGATGGAGCTGAGATCGTGGGACATACACCCACCTAGGCAAGGCAGTTTTTATGCAGTCCTCTGGCCTTGGGCCATACCCCAGCTATAAAGACCCAGCTTATGCTAAGAAGTGCTCATTAACTCAACAACTGTTTCGTGAGCAGCTGCTAAGCTGGCTGTTACGCTAGACAGAAAAGATACGGTGTGAGCAAGACACCCTAAGCCCTCCAAAAAGACCTCAAATTACAAAAACCCTGTGCACAACTGTTTAGTCACTATGGTGTGACTAACACCGTAAAGAAAAGCAGAGTTGACGACGAAAACCAATGGGAGCTCCTAGCCAGAGAGGTCAAGGAAACCCTCCAGGGGAAGAGACGTAAGTCATTACTGGGCAGATCAAAGTTAACTGGGTGGGAAGGAGAGAGGATGCCAGGTAAAGGGGCCTGTGTGTGCAGGCTCCAAGCAGCCAAGAGCTTTGTAAACTAAAAGGAAGAGAAAGGCCAATGAACATGCGTAGGCTTCTTTGGAAAATGAAGGGGCAAGAGGGCACCCAGGAGACAAGGAAGCCAGACTAAATAGGCACTTATGGCCCTTATTTGGGCCTGTGAAGTCATTGAAGGCTTTCAAGCAGAGCAGAGGCCGGATGATTATATTTTTTAAGAAGCATTCTTAGGCATAGAGGATCTTGAGGCTGAAGATGCAGCTGTGGATCTTGGGGGTTACATACGTGTCCGATGACATAGAACTACGCAGAGGCACACATCAAACATTCACAAATATGTACATGTGCACACGAGCCTGTGAGACAACAAAACCCGCCAAGGGTCTAGGATCGCAATCGCTTTGCTCTTGTACGTGGGTATCTAAGATGCTCATCACTGGGGGAAAGGCACATGGGATCTCTGCCATTTCATACAAACCTATAGTTACTTCCAAACAGAAGAAAAGACCTTCTAAAATAAGAGTATTCAAGTGAAAATGTACATCAGCAGGAAGAAAGAGGGTCGGAGGAAGGAAGAGAAGGCCTGGAAAGGATTTGCTACGACGAGGCCGAGGAGATGCAAGAATTTTTGCCAGGACTGGTTCTGAGGCTGATGCAGCCAGCAGAAGAGAGACAGGAAGATTAGGCTCAGGTGGAAACCTGAGAGAACAATACCTAAAGAAGTGGCAGGAAGTGACCCATCTGAGTCCCGTGAAGGTGGCAAAGTGAGTGTCTGAATGAAGAAATCAGGCAGAGTGCCTTGAAACCACTGAGATGAGGAACGCTGTGGGAAGAATGTGTGGCGGCCCTGGGGAAGGGGATCCACTCTGTTCTGAGCAGGGCAGGCTGGGTCAGGGAGAGGAACACAGGGTTGGAAGTTCACAAGACAAGTGTGGACTTGAAGTAGAAATAAGGCCAGGCGTGGTAGCACAGCTTCGATCCCAGCATTGGGAGCCAGTGGCAGGAGGATCTCTCTGAGCTCCGGGCCAGCCTGGGCTACACAGAGACACCGCCTAAAAAGAGAAAACAAAAAATAAAAAAACAAACTTAAGATTGATTTTGCTAACCAGGTGGTAATTGGAAATATGAGAATCAATAAAAGTAGGAAAAAGAAAAATGAGAAGAAAGAAAGGGGAAGGGTTTTTTTTTTAAAATCTAGGACTAAGCTTTGAGGAATCATCTATTTAAAGACAGAAGAGCTGAGGATGGAATACGTGCCTATAAATCCCAGCACCAGGGAGCCTAGAGCAAGAGGATGGTGAGTTCGAGACCACCCTGGACTACATAGTGAGACCCTGGCTTCAAAATAAAAACAATGGAGGAAAGAAAAAACAGTAAAGAAAACAGAATGGCCAGAGAGCCAAGAAGCAAATTGGGCAAGTATGGAGTGACCATAGCCAAAAGACGAGATTTCGAAAATGGGTCAGCTGTGTGGTACTGCAGGTTTGTCTTTGTTCCATAAAGACCCTGAAAAAGGGGGGTATTGTCTATGGCCATACCATCCTGAATGTGCCCAAGCTGGTCTGAATGAGGGAGTGTTGACAGATCAGCACAAATGCTGTCCTGCTAATAATAACATTCCTCATGGTGCCATCTTCCCGAGGAAGGAAGGTCAGCACATTCCATGGCCTGGAACTCGGCTGGCAGCTGCATTGGAGCCTCTGCCTGGGTGGGGTGAGGGTGGACTGTGTGGCTCCCATATCTCCAACACAGCAGATGCTAGTTATCAGTGTATTCTGTGTCTCCTACGGTAGGCATGTCCAGTCTTTGACATTGCAACACGATATGGTTGTCGACGAAGTTCACTCTTGAGAACTGCACAACTGAGTTACAAAAAATAAAAAAAAATAAAATCTTGATAATCTCACAATGTTTTACAATTCTGTGTTGGGCCACATTCATAGCTATCCTAGGGCACATGTGTCCTGTGGGCCACAAGTTGGACACATCTACAACCTCTACACAAACGCTGTGCTGAGTCCTAGGGACATTTGGGGGTGGTAGCTTTAGTTAGACAAGTGAATGGTGGCGAGTGGATGTTAGAAGCTCCTATTAGAAATCTGGGGGCGGGGGAGAGGGCAGGATAACGCACAGGCTTTCTCTTTGTTCTTATTTTGAGAAGGTCATTGGCTTTCCAAAGATCTTCTGATATGGAGGAAGAGACATCAGCCGCCATGCCTCCTGCCCCCAGGCTAAAACTAACCTCAGCCCCAGCTCAGAACTCAAGACGCTATTCAAACGAGAGAGGAAAGCGAGGGACAGGAAGGTTCCTCCTACTTCTCTAAGGAGAAAGAGGTGCGAAAACAGGTCCTAAAATGAAATCCAGAGTTAAGTTATTTGCCTGTGCCACCGTACCCAGCTGGCCACTCTCCAAAAACTAGAAAAAACGCTTAGCATGTAAAACTCCAAAAATACGATGTCTTAGCTACCTTAGAAAGGATGTAAGAATGCACACTGTTGGGCAAAAGAGAAAGTTTCCAAGGACAGAAGTGGGAGCTTGTTTCTAAAGCCTCACTGCTGGGGCTAGTTTTGTCGAGAATTAGTGCTCAAAGTTCATGTAAGTAGGAGAGGAGCAGGCACAGTCTTTCTAATCCAAGGGTTGAAGAGAAGAGAGGCATGTTGCTGTAAAGCAGTTTGCTGAGGCCCAATTACCACTTGTTTGCTCTTGGAAAGTTAACCACCATCTTTAAATGTACGTGCTTGGAAATGTAGGGCTTTTCCCCATTTCTCCAGCTTTCTAAAATTTTTAAAAATTTCCTTTTATTTTATGCGTATGAGTGTTTTGGCTGCACATATGTATATGCACCATGTGTATCAATGCCCCTGGAGGCCAGAAGAGGGCATCAGAACCCTGCAACTGAAGTTACAGATGGTTGTGAGCCACCCAGTGAGTTCTGGAAACTGAACCCAGGTCCTCTGCAAGAGCAGTAAATTCTCTTAACCACTGAGCCAGCTCTCCAGCCCTCCATCTTTCTTAAAGCAAAGAATAC